AGAGCTTGTTTTGCATGCTGTCCTGGGAGAGAACCCTGAGCTCATGATATCCTCGAGCCTGGGGCTCCCTCAGGTGAGAGTGGAGTTTGAGCTCAGGTAGATCTGGAGAACTCCCCTGCTTTAGTTGCTAATGAACAGATAGGGATTGCTCTTAAGAGATAACTATTTACTAAGAGAATGTCTATGGTGCCGATTTGGGTTAGTCAATTAACTTAAGTTGCATGTTTTTTGGATGGCGGGAGGAGACCGGGAGGAACCCACATGAGAATGTGTAAACTCTGCACAGAAATGTGGGTAAGGACTAGAACCAGTGACGTTCTGGCTGAGAGGCAACAGTGCTAACCACTAGGCCACTGTGCCACCCATCTAGAGGAGAAGGAGGTGTAGGGGTGAAAGGTGGGTTTCTTTAAAACAAAGATGGCTGTGATGTGGAATTTAGGGTACTTAAAGTGGCTTAAGAGTAATCTGATTATGAATCATGAATTTCTCTAATGCAGGACCAGCTGTGATCAATCATAAGCACGTGATCCTCCTGAAATTAGTTTATAACAAAAACAGAATGATGAGCTGTCAGACGTTTTACAGCTTTATGCTTTACATTATTACCTAGACCAAACATTCTACAGAACTACTAAATGTGTAAGATCACTTTGTTAAACAGCAAAAGTTAAAGGGAAAAATCAAGTTCATATAATGGCCTTAGCTGGATAAGTGCGGAGTTTGCATGTTCTCCCCATGTTGGCATGGGTTTCCTCCGGGTGCTCCGATTTCCCTCACAAGTCCATTACATGCTGTATAGGTGAATTGGGTAAGCTAAATTGTCCGTAGTGTATGTATGTTTGTGAATAAGTGTGTATGGGATGCAGCTGGAAGAGCATCCGCTGCGTAAAACATATGCTGGATAAGTTGGTGGTTTATTGCACTGTGGTGACCCCTGATTAATAAAGAGACTAAGTGGGAAAAAAAGAATGTTCCTATAATGCAAAATATCAACAAATGTAAAACACCCTTAAATAACAAACTACAGGAATCTGTTAATTAAGTTTGTGCTTCATTAAAATCAAATGTTCGTTTGCATATGAAGATGTTTTGTTATGATGAAATGTATTTATGTTTGAGTAATGGTTTAAGACTGGATTACATGAATTCATTAAATCTAAATATAAAAAACAGATTTGTGCAACACACTTTACATGCAACGACACACTTTACATGCCAATTTGCACACAACAGCTGCACATATAACACTGTATATAGTAATATAGCTCTACATACACTTTTCTTTTTGTATATTTTGCATTCACTTCTTACTGCTTTTTATATATTTTCTATCTGTTTATTGTCCTGTCTCTGTAATTCTGTTGCACTGTAGAAGCTCTGTCACAAAAACAAATTCCTCGTATGTGCAAACATACCTGGCAATAAAGCTCTTTCTGATTCTGATTTCTGATGGTATAAATACTGGGTAAGGATGGGGTGTAAAATGCAATAAGTTTGTTGACATTTCAGTTTGACATTATTCAATTAGGCAATAGATTTTTTTTTCAACTATTTTGCACATGAATCTCAAGGATGTTCTCATAATATACAGTGATATTCATAACATAATTGGCTTACTTTCAGGACGACCACCACTTGTACTCCACCGCCTTTCACTCTCTGAAAATAAAATCAACCATTCAGTATGATAAATGATGAATTTAATAAATCAAACCTTTAATCATACATCGGCAAATAGGTATATGAAGCTTATATTACAATAACTTGATTTAAATGACCTTTACAACTAATTTAGCAACTTTACAAAATGATAATACTACTAATTTAAATAACTATAAAATGTAAAAAAAATAAAATAAAAAAGGGGGTTTAAAGCTTACGTATATCGAACTCTCCGGCTACATATGATGATTAAATCTAGAAAAAACCAAAGTAAAGGAGTAAATAAAGACCCAATATAAATTTTTCATAGGAAAGAAAAGTTTCATTTCCAAAGAACAAAGACCCCACTGTAAAAATATATCCATAAATAAGCAGTTTTCTGTATTTCATGATTTATTATGCACTGTGTTTACCCCACTAAACGTACCCCATTTATGTTTGCTTCTGAACTGCATTATAAAATCTTAAATGTTTTCCTCCAACAACTCTTAGTCTTGAAAAGCTGTAAAAAGTGACTTTTATGAACAGTTTTAATAGTCTGCAGTGTTGTACTGTCTGGGTTGGTGTTGTATATTATGCTACAGAAACCTTGAATTAAACTGCCAGTACATTTCCTGACATTGTACAGGCTTATTTCACTAGATATTATTTATTATACATTATATTATTGTTTAAAATTACATTAAAAGTCAGTTTGTTAAACTGTAAAGTTGGATTTTCAAAATCAGAAATGGACAGAGCAGATAATGTGACTCACCACAGCAAATAAACGGGAAACACTCGTGTATCACGAAATAAGGAAAATGTGAATAAGGAAATGAACAGATTATTTTACAGTTTATATTTCCCCTCCATATATGTAATACATTATTGATTAATTACACTGACTTCATTACATTTCCAACATTCTTATAATATACTTTCATTTAACAGATTGCTGTATTCAAAGCGACATACAAAAGAGGAATATAAGAGATTCTCTAAATAACACAACTTTCCCCTCCACACAGCCAAGTTCAAAAATACAACGAGCAGTTTCCTACTCCACAAGCATTAACATTGCAGTAACATTTCAGCCTGTATCCTCTACTTTATGAACTGATTTATTGCCTACCCATTGTGCCTGTTATTTCTCCACCGCCAGTTGCTCGTGCTCCTCTCAGATTCTTCCTCCTGTCGCGTGCACATGCATCAGTTGACGCACAGCAGATTGTTTATTTATTTATTTGACTTTTTGTTTTCACGGGTTTAATCAATAAAGGTAGCATAGAGTGGTGAATAAACTGTAATTAAACAAGACTGATTTAATTCTGAAAATGGTGACGTAACGGAAGCAAATACCTTGTGATCTGTTCAAAGTGAAACCGAAACCAAGAAGTGGCTTCGACATGTTTTATGAATATTGGGCAATCTGACACTGCTCTTTGCATGAGCTGTTGGAAAGGTAAATTCGTCACCTCTATTTCTTCACCTCAAGCTTTTCATGAGGCACTGGTATAAAGCTGTATACATTAGTTTAATTATGCACATACATAAATCCTTGTCACAATAATAGCTTTAATTACAAACAACCTCAAAGCTCATTAAAAAAATAGATAAATGAATAATTTAATAAATAAATAAAAGCTTTCCTTGGCATGTGGTAAAAAATTTGTGATTAATCAAGATTGTGTTGTACAAACTTGCGTCTTTATAATACACTGTAAATAATATTCATGTAAATTATCCACAGTTTTACATAACAATGAAAACATTTTAAATGTTTCTATTATTATTATTATTATTATTAATTATGTATACTGAATGCTTGACTAATAAAAGAGGCAGAAGAGTGCCATCTGGTGTAAATACACTGAAGCAGTGTGTACATATTAGCAACCCAAGTGTACACTGACTGTGCAAAAACAGTTGCAATGGTCTAAATGGCCTAAATGAATCCTCAGAACTAATTAACAGGGTAACACTTCCTGTTCTGAAAATTACTTTAGAACCAGAAAACTATCCACATATGTTAAGAATGGAAATGATAGAAGGAATTGCAGTGATTGAGTTTGAGACGTAAAATAACAAATCGTCCTTTAAAAGAAACAGACTCAATAGGCTCAATAGCCAGGGCAAATATCAGAGGGGAGAGTGGGCATCCATGCCATGTACCTCTGCCTAATTTAAAGTATTGTGAATGTATACTATTTCAGTGTACACTGGCCTGGGGGTGAGCATTTATGTGATGAATTCATGAAATTAAAGTAGGAATTTTTAGTACAGCTAAGAGGTATGACCATTCAACTCTGTCAAATGCTGCAAACCTCAGGGACAGCAGAAGTATGCTTGGAATATATGATATTTAAAAGAGTACGAACATAAAAAACAAACATCTCCCTTTAATAAAACCTGTTTGCTCTTCAGATATTAAATGGGGGAGTTTCTTTTCAACATGGATAGCCAACACTTTTACTAAGATTTTTGCATCAGCATTTAGTAATGAAAAGGGCTTTTGAGCTATAAGAGGTGGGATCTTTTCCTTTTTAAAAAGTAATATAATGGAAGCTT